CAAATGGCAGTGTCTGCAGCAGTGGCGTGATCACCAGACATTTGTTAAGCCCACTGTGTGTGTGAGACATTGCTAATGTTTGTAGAACATATTTTTAAAAGATAGGTTTGTTAGACTTTTGTTTCACCTTGTCTTTACTGTTTTATTATTATTAGCATTGGTCTTCACATCTAGGAAATTAAAATGTGGAATTCCAGCAGTGATTCCATGCTTTTTAATGGAACATTGTTATAAACTAGCCTCAGCTTTGTAATACCACAATTATCAGAACCATGATGTACATTCAAAAGGGTAATTACTTTGTGTAGTAATTTCCTAGACTGCCCTCCCCACCCCCACCCAGCCAGCTGGCATTGAAAAAGGAGCACTGCTTTTGTGTGTGTACAGTCTGTAAAACCCCATTATCCCCAACTTCCACACCCCTGTGGCTGCATACTTCCTTTTGAAGCCTATTAAAAAAGAAAAAAAAAAAACTTTCAAGATAGCCCTAAAATTTATTTTGAATCTCATTTCACCCATATAGTATAAAAATGAGATGGTGGGTAGGAAGTGGGAGGGGTCTAGAATGTGATTTGCTTACCCCTGGAATTCTATGATGCTTGTGGGAAAGCCTGGTAAAAATTTGCACGGGTGGGTAGAAATACTTCTTCAGAAATACTTTGAGATAAAGTTAGATTTAAATCTGTTTTGATGTTCAAAGAATAGAGGAATGTTAATTTGGTTATTCTAGTTCTTTTTCTTTCATCTGTTCAGAATGTCTATACTATTTAGAACAGAGGTTTCCACCGACCTCTCATGACCAACATCCTTTTAAATTGTGATCATCTGCTAGAATCCTAGGTGCAGTGACCTCCTCTGCTTTCCTTTTCTTCTTTGTGTCTCTTTCCATCTGAGCTTTTGACCTCCTCTCTGGCCCATATCCTAACTGCTTCCACTGAGCCCATTTTTAATCCTTTACTTTTGGGATCCAGCTTCCCATGCTACTCACATTTCTCTTAGCATTCTTTCCACCACCTTGAATTAATTGACGTCTGTTCCCTGAGGATGACACCTTCCCTGTTAACCTGTTGCATCTCTTACTGTCACTATTTGATGCAACTAGGGAAGGGGAAGGGTGTGTAATAGAGGTAAGGAGTTTCAAAAAATTTTTCCCTTCCCCTGAAAGACCTCTTCTTGACTTTGTTTTTTCACCACTATTCAAAGTCCTTTCTTTTGAAATTCTTATTTTATATCGACATCGTCTAATTCCATCAGCTTTTGCCTCTTCTTCATCTCTGGGACATTTCCCCATCTTCCTTAGGGCTTGTCTTATAAGCCTTACCTGCATACCAATCCTTTCCCTCTCTCGGAGTGATTGTGTCCTCCTCACTGGTGACTCTTCCAAAACTGCAGCTTCTCAGCCTTTAACTTCAGTCATCTTAGAGTCACAGCCATGACTTGGACCACACCTCTTGTGCATCTCAATTTTCTTCACTTCTGTTAAATATGCTCCCTGTCCTCATTGTAGATTCCTAACTCTATCTCATTCCTGAGGTCAGTAAATATCCTTCCTGGCATTCACTTCCTTTTTATTCCTCTTGATCCTCGACATGACTGACCAAGTGAGATCGCTTTCACCTCCAAACTTCTTAAAGAGTAGACTTAATCATTGTTTCTGTTTTCTTTATCTCTCATTATCCTGCCAACATCACACAGGCTTTTTGCCTCCTTACTCTGCTGACACTGCTTCAAAATCCCGGATGGTCTCCTCTTTTTTCATATTCAGTTTCCCCTTCCAAGTCTGTATTCCTGACTACCTTTTTGACATCCTCCTTTTAAAAATGTTTCTAGTTTCTTGATTTCATTATATTTTCTTCTCAAAATGATCTTTCTCCTTTGTGACTCCGGTTTTTTTGTTTGTTTTTGTATTCCTCTTCCCTCTTCTGTCCCTACAAAGCATAGGTGTTCCTTTGTCTCTTTTGTCTCTTTCTCTGCTGGCGTTCTGTTGGTGATCTCATCCATCCTCTCAACTTTAATAATAAGCTGTTAGATATGGATTCCCTTCCTTGATGCCGAAGATCTGTCCTCACACCCTCATTTCCAACTTCCTGGTAGACATTTCCAGAGGGGTAACATAAAAGTACTTTAAACCTACGGTGATTATAATTTATCATCTAAATTGGGTCACTATGGAAGGCAAAGACGGAACTACTAATAATCAGCCAGTGTAAACCTGTACTGTGCATATGGTCACCTATTCAAACTCATTATGTACAAAATACTCTGACATTTGCTTTTCCAGTATTTTCCATCATTATGAATTGCCTCACCAACATTTTACTTACTCAGGCTGAGAATTATCTTTAATTTTTATTCTTTCTTCAGTTTCCAATTCCTAGAAATTCTACCTTTCATGTATCTATTGAATTACACCTTTTTTAAAAACCCTATTTCACTGTTCAGGCTCTTATTTCCTCTTGCCTGGAATACTGCATAGACGTCTAACTTGTCTTCTTACTCCCAGTTTCTCCTTCTTTTTCCTTCATGCCATATTCTTTATTTCTACAAAATGTCCCTAAAGTATTGATTATTTATGCACCTGCTTAACAACCATTGCCAAAGAATGTCATGAAGACTTCTCAGCTTGGAATTTAACACACTTAACACAATATAACAAAGCCTGACATAAAAAAAATGTGTCCAGCTTTATCTCCTTCATGGACCCTGTATTTCAGCTGGACTATTGGCCTTTCCACAAACACCTCCTAAATCAGTGGTACTCAACCTTGGCAGAAACACCTTTGGAATTAAAAGTACATAAATACTCAAACTTAACCTGGGAGATTTAAATTTAGTAGGTCTGGTTTGCGGCCTGGTTAAATTAATAAAGAGCCTCCCCAAGTGATCCTGACCAAAGCCAGCATCGAGAAGCACTGCGACTGTTTTCCAGCTTCCATGACTTTGTTCACCATTTTCTCTCCATGGCCAGTATCTGTTTTTCTTGCTTTCTGCTTAAATACCATCCTATCTTTCAATACCAGCCCTAGTTTTGTTTTACCTCCTTCATGAGGTCTTCCTTGATCCATCCAGATAGATGTAATTATTTTGTCGGTACTGCAGTCACAGTATAACTTTCACTAGATTATTTGTTTAATGCCTTACAACCTCTAGACAGCACACTTCTTGAAGGCAAAGCTCCTACTATTTTATAATACAGAAACCACTCAGTAAAGCTCATTGGCTGTTGAGATTTTTTTTGTAAAGAACTTTGAAGTTCTTAAGAAAGTGATTGATAATCATGAGGGTTTTTTTTGCTAATTTAATCAATAGTCCAAGAGCATAAAGTACAGTAGTTTCAATTCCAATACTATGCTAAATTAAGATTTGCTAATCATGCTAAGTAGGAGAAAGGAATTAGAATTGTAAATGCCACTACTGTTTTCAGGGGCAGATGAGCTAATCTTAAAGTGAATTCAGTGGTGGATTGGTTCCTTTTTAACACCCACACTTCAGGTGCTTTAAAGCACGCGGGTCTCTTTGGACTCCTCATGAAAACTGTCATGTTGGTGTGCACCTATAAAATGTGCTTTACTCAGAAAATGGGGTTAGTAAAGCAGAGTTTTTTACTAGTTCCTTTGGCACAGGGGAATACTTTTAATAAATAGACCTCACTGAAAGAAAAGTGTTGTTTTTAATAGGGAACGAGAGTGTAAGTGCAGTGATTTAATGCAGTTACAAGTGCCTGCATCCAAAAACAATTTTTGATTTTTGTCAGATGTTCAGCA